TTCAAATTCTTACCAAGTTAGTTATAACAACCTTCTTATTACTTATTACAAGAGGGTAGTAGCATTCGTTGCACGTATAATGGTTCGTTGCCGTATTATGCAAGATTCCTTTATCAGTAGACCAAAGCTTGACTGGTTTTTATCCATTACAGACACATTCGTCTAGCGAAAGGAGTGGCCCTCAGCAGGCAAGGGTACTTTGCGCGATACCGTGGTGGTGAGCCTATCTGACACGGAATGTAAATTAATATTCTTTAATACGGATATTTAATTTTTGGTAGGTTTCTTCAATGTGTATCTCCTCGTAGTCTCCGTACTCAATTCTTTAGACCATGTTTAACACCTCCGAATTGATCAGGGTATATTTCTTGAATGAAAGCATTTCCAGATTCTTACCGATCTAGTAATAGACTTTATGTCCCATATCATTGTGGTATTTTCTCATTGGTTCAGATACCGCTGTAGCATGAATGACTGTGACGATGCTACGGCGTGCATAGCGAAGTAATTTCATCATCTGGCTTAGAATCTCAGTGTTACAACATATTTGTTCTTTCGTCAAGTGTACTGTTTTTAGTTATTAAATTTTTTTGTTTAATCGTTAATGATTGCAGGTAATGAATAGCTCAAAGAACTGGTGGCAATGTCGTAACGCGTACAACCAAGTCGGCTACGTGCCGAAGACGTTTTTGACCGTGGTCGAGGGTCGAGGCCCAGAGTACGTACCCCCATCGCACTCCAGGGATTACCGACGGCCGAACGTCGCCGACGAAATGCACACCGTTGCGAAAGAGCGGATCGGTAAATACGGTGGCTATCGATACTTTTAGCTGGTGGCGACGATCGGTCGATTTTTTCTTGCTTGTATACACTAACCGATAGTAAGTGCGACCGGACAGGGACGGATGATGTATAGCGGCGACGAGTCTAAAACTTGACTTGACGCCGTGGTCGTTGTCGTCGATGTCGACCTATGCTTTGTTCCCCGTTGAGCAACGACAACGTATTTGCTAGAAACGGTGATGGCGGATTTGTTGTACGATAGACACGCGAAGCATGTCGTTTTCCTGTACACTGATCCGATGATGTGTTTGCGTTTGTAGACGCTTTCCGTCACTACTACTTCGTACATCTTTTTTTATTCGTGTTGCTAATGTAAGCGTTGAGATGGTGGACCAAATTTTGCCGTTGGTTGTGAGCTAAAGCCGTTTTTATGCTTGTGCCTGTTTGAGAGCCGCTGCCCAACTACTGAGGCGGTCGATGTGTTTTCCACATTCGTTCTGCTGTTTGTTATGATCGCTGTCCGATTTGCTGTGCTGTCGATCAAGCGAACGAAACGCTCGTACTTTTACATCATTTTTTGCGCGTCGTCTAGTTACTTGTACTCGTTATACTTCACTTCTGTACTGATACTTATGTTTGCGAGGTGGTATCTGCTGCTGCTTGCTATGAGATTGACTGATTTTCTGTTGTTGCGTTGTGAGTTGAGTCATTTTGTTTAAGTTTTCAGAAAAATCCTGTGATCCCGCTGCTCTTTCGCATTTCGCCTTCCCCAGTTTGCCCCTCTCCCTTCTTTGTCTGATTTTCAGGTTCTTGTTCTTGGTACGCTTAGCGTCGGCGAAGGCTTACCTTATTTAGGCTTCTTACGGTTTTGCAATGCATCGCAGGATTTTTCTGAACGTTTTTTTTGCGTTTTTCGTATTACCGCGATTGCGATCAGAACGAAGATGACGATGGCTATGCTGATTTTGACCACCTGCGGTCAACTAGCTTCTCTCGCTCTCTTTTCAGATCTGTTTTTGTTCGGCATTCTTATGAAGAATCTTAGTTTTATAATTATTTTATCATGTTAAACGTTGGCAAATCTGTAGTTTTTCTTTTTGAATTTTTACCCATTGTTTTTATCTGTTATTAGCGCTTTCGTTATTCGTATTTATTATTAATATTATTACAATTATTGCTTCGTCCTGAACATTGCGGTTGTTTTATGTGAATAAACGGTTCCTCGTTTTACTTTTTTTCTACAAAGCCTGCGTGTTAAAACGTGAAAAGTTCAACGATGCATTGCAAAGTCGTAATTTTCCGTAGCGAGATGGTCACCAATCGTTGCTTATATGTACTTACTGCATTTAAATCTGCTTAGCTGAGGTTCAAGTCTGAAATGGTAGCTTCTTGTAACGGGGTCGTTATTCTCATTCTAACTGATAATAATGATTTTTCGGCAAGCGATACTGAATTCAGAAATTGCAGTATGAGATACATAAGTAATTACGTGAAACTCGATTCCTTAAGAGTTTTTTAATTATAAAGTCTTCATACAGTTTTTATGTCTGCGACTAGTGATGCAGAAGCCGGAAGTTCTGTCTGACTTTAAGCCGCAAATGCTTAGAGTCTTTTAGCCCAAGGATTGTCGATATGGTCGGGTTACTTTTCTATTTCACGAAGTACAC